GCCTTTTTCTGCCTTTTACGAAATATACCGTCTCGTCACAACTCTCGCGCAGACAAGAATACGAATGTACGGGCTATCATCCATCCATAACTAATATCCACGCTTAGTTATGTCACTTTGGTTTGCGCGGTTCAATTGGCGGTGCCGCGGGACTAAAAGAAATTTTATTTACAAAGAAATTTAGATTTGAGTTTAGTTGTCCGATGTTTCAAGTACTTGAGAGCATAATTCAGTATTTTACAAAAGTCCAACTGTGTTGATAGAAAGTTGTGAAGTTCATGCTAACCTTGCCATTACACAAAACTCTTTATTCTGAGTGACTAAAAAAAATTATTTTTACGTATAATCGTATATACATGAAGTATTTGTATATTAGAGACTTATTTAGCGTTACATGTCGACAATATTTAGTAAAGCACCAATTTGTAATTTAATAAAACACCTATTTGTTTTAAGCTTTTGTTTTATCGATTCAATTAATTTTAACCAAAATTTTCAATATAAGAGAATGTTCGATATGAATTTTAATATTGTTGTTGATGAGCTAAAATAGTTTTATAAATGTTTGATTTTATTTACTCATAAAATCAGATACTATGCTGTTGTTTTATGTTGTATGAAAGTAAAAATTAAGTACCTTTAATCGAATACTTTCAAATGTAAAGATTCAATCTTAAATAATATTAAAATATTTAATGTAAATCAGTCTATTGTTATATAATATGTTTAAATTTAGCGTTGAGCTTATAGAATCATGAACATGTGAATGTCAAATATTAGTAAATTATTATTTATCAATTATTTTTAAATAAATAGCTTTAAAGTGATTTATTCAATTTACAACTTTTAAAAAATATTCAGATGTCATTTCAGATATAACAAAATGCATTTCTAAGACTCCTTATAATTAATGGATTTTAATTGATAAAATGTTATTTATTCAGAGATTTCAGTAGTGTAAATAATTAAATTTTTCATAATTAATTTAAACTTTTTTCAATTAATTATTCCGAATGGAATACTTTTTAATCATAATATGAAATTTAATCGAAACTTCTTATTATAATAATCGACTTACAAAAGAAAATAAAGAAACATCGTGCCAAATTACACATGCATCAATTATCAAATGCTCGTGCAAATATAATTTTTTATTTTATTTACAAAATAAATTTTGTATATTTTGAAATTACAGTATTTGTAAGATATATAATTTAAACATATATATTTATACAAACATATTTAAATAAACTTAAAGAATTTGTATTAAATTAAATAAAATAATAAAAAAAAAAAAAAATTCAAAAAGCAGTGAAATTTAAGGAGGCATAATGAAATTATCACATAATCAAAAAAATCTTCAAGATATTCATTTGAATTTGCTAAAATTGGAAACTTAAATTTAAAATTGTAAAAGAATAATATTGATTAAAACTTATTTTGAGATGATATTTATACTTTATTTTATTATAATCCATTATATATATATATATATATATATATATATATATATACTTCTCACATTCGCATATAAAATCTTTTTATATTTTTAAGTATAGAAAGTTTATTTTATTTTTTATTTACATACACGTTTATTTTTATGATTAATAATATTGATATACATTGAACAATTACGATATCTGTTTATGAATGGCAACAATTTATAAGATGTTGCATCTATATAAAATTTTTAAATCATTTAAATATTTAAATAATTAAAATCAATTAATGCAGAAAAAAAATTAATTAAACGTTATAATCAACGAAATTTAATATTATTTTAGTAATATAATATAATGAATATCAACTAGATTAAATTCCACATGAGTTCTAAATGAAAAATTTTTGTTTATACCATAAAAATTAGTTATAAAATTTATTATTACTAAAATTTCTCTATTAACAATAATACTTGCTATTTGAAAGTAAATAATTTTAATGGGAGTAAAAAATTAATTATATCAATGAAAAGAATATATATATTGAAATTTTTTGGTTATTCTTCCAGTAAATTTATAAACTTATTTCGTGCAAGCAGAACAATTATAAATGCGGACTCATCTAATAAAGAAATATGTTTTGAAAATAATTATTCAAAATTTATTAATTTTTTATATATTTATAAAAGTTATGACGCAACTATTAATACAAACATAAAACAGAAAAGAGCATTTGCATGTGAAAGTGACTTAATCTATTATGCAAACAAATTATTACTGTATAACTCAAATGAATGCGTTAGTAAATTAATCTGAATATTTAAAAACAACTTTGAAATAATCACATAATAACTAATTAACTAATTTTTTGCGTTAAATCTTAAATCTAATCAAATATTTAATAAGGAAGTCACAGTTTCATTGAATCATTGTATAATTTACTTCTACATATTAGTTAAATAAAAAGAATATAAAATTTATCCTTAAATAGATTTTTGATATCTAGTCAGTAGTACATTATATATTAATTAAAATGAATATCCAATGAAATTCAAGCTTTTATACAATAAAGCGTTATTACTTTATGTTATAATTCACCATTTTTCCAAATACTTATGCAAAAGTTAAATGTATAATAGTTTTAATTCTTATTTCATACTTATTACTTTATTCATTTGTATTTATTATATATTATCAGTAGTTATTTCAAGAACATTCGAATATTTGTATATTACATGTTTCATTAATTTGTATTGCATAATTTATTACGTAACAGTCGTACTTTTCATAAAATCATAAATTTGAACATTTTTAATTGGAAATTTTGCAATATTTCTCATTATGGAAGTTAAGAAAAATTTACATACATATTTATATAAATATATTTAATTTAAAAATTCTTTTTTAATAAAATTATTTTTAAAAGAATTAATTTCGAAAATTTGTTTAAAGTTAAGTTTCCGTATTATCTTTTCATACTAAATAATTTTTATGAATATTACAATTTACTTAAATATGTTTTAATAGAATACACTTAATATTCGTAGTTAAATGTCACTATTTTGTTATATATTTTACAATATTCTCATGAGTTCATTAAAATGTATATTAAAAAAAAAAATCTTTAAAAACATTTAATTGGTGTCATAATTAAATATGTTTTATATCACAGATTTGTTGTAATTAACCGTGATTGTTTTTTCTATTAATTAACTATTAATCTTTATCAAACTTATTAGATGTAAGTAATATACTCAGTTGACCAGGATAATTAACATTTTCAACCTATTTATATTCTTAAAATTTGAATAGATTATTTTTGGTATAAAACAAAACCTTAGTGTATTTTATAAATTGGCACAATATTAATAAATGTCCTACATATTTAGTACTTTTAATTATTGATACTATTTATAATGTTAATGTAGTGTAAATATTTGTTCAAATTACAATCTTAGTAGTTAAATAGGTTTTTATAAATAATAGCATACAGAATTATAGTGCCATTGAACAACCGCACAATTTATATTCGCTTAATTTTCTTTTTCGTTTACTATTAATGCCAGTAAAAATATAAAATCTATTATAGTAAAGCTTATATTTTAATATTTATGTATATATATATATATATATATATATATATATATATATTTTAAAGAATGTAGCACATTTAATTATTATAGAAAAGCAATTATTATAGTTTGCGCGAGATGGCTCACTATATAAAATCTATCGATTATAACAAAAGATATTAATTCATATTATTTAGGCCAACAAATCGTAATGTATTGTATATTAACAGAAATCCTCATTCAAATTAAATTATTACTATTCAGATGTGTGTCTTAGTACGTTAGGGAAGTGAAATATAATAATTGCTTTGAATAACAATTATTGTTAATTTTCGCTAATTACATTGAAAATAATATCAATCGCAATATGAATTCAATTAGTACGAGAGATGCACAATTTGTTTAAAAATAATTTCAGACCTAACTATATCTTTAAAAATCATCTGAAATTCTGATATAATACGCATAATAGCAATTTTCATATATGTGTATTCACGAATAAATATATAATTGATAAAATTTCATTGCTCAGTTTAGATAAATATTTAAGAAATTCATAAGTAATTCTATAATAGCTATAGGACATTTTATAAGGACGATAAATTTACGAAAATATACATATATAATCTAAAACATGCGTAATATATAATTGTTTTTTTTTGTTTTTTGTTTGTTTTTGTTTTTGTTTTTTTTTTATATATAAAAGGTACATATTAGTGTATGTAGAATTAATACTATTTCTTATTCAAATATATGCGGTTATTAAAATTAAGGTTAGAAGTTATAATTAATACCAATTGAATTTTATAATCTGTATAATTCAACAGGGATAATTATTTTAAATATCAGAATGATTATTAATTGTAATGCATTTATAATAATTAAGAACATTGGAAAAAATTTTCTATCTCTTCTTATTGATAAGTATACAATTATTGAAAGATTAATTTAAAAGAAAAATTAAATAAATTTGACAGTATTTTATGACTAACTATTTTTCAAGTTATCACCTTGATATTTTATATATTATAGTTTAAAATAATGTTTAATCGAGATTAATAAGTAAGAGATATTCACACATATACAATAAAAATATAATAACATAATTAATTGTTAAATTATAAAATTTTCCATGTATTGAAAGATTAAATTTGTTAAAATATTTTGAAGGAGAAAGTTGATAGATTCTTGTTTTATATTCAAAATTAAATTTAGTTTAAATTTAGTAAAATCATTCAAGCAAGTTACATTCTATTAGATACCAAAACTTTTTCAAATATATATTTAATTTACAAATTCTAGTATGAATAAAAAATTGCTTACGGCATATACGATATACATTTGATAGATTAAATTAATTATCTATTGCAACTAAAGTTAAGCGTAATCTTTTCTATGGTATAATTAACAGGGTTTGATACATTTCTTAAGAAAGTTAAACATAATTTTTTGATATAAAACTATTTGAATTAGTGAATTATTTATAAAATACGGACACTACATGCATTTACTATGAATAATTATGACACATCTTCCTGTGAAGTCTAGGTGGCCAGTTAAGTAGGACATTCTTCAATTATTCAAGTAGAACAACGAAGATTCATTTCAATATTTAATATTTATATCTATTAAATATATCTACTAATTCTTCTTGAACTGTTGCATCTGATTATCCGATGGAAGTCCTTTTATAGCGAATTTTCCTCGAAAAATTGGTTTGAAGACTTCCAGTACACTTTCTGTCCTTTTTGCTGAATTCTGTAAATTTAAAATTATTATATGAAATATTTAAGAAATAACCATTATAATTCTAGTGAATATTTGAGCTTTATTGCAAGATTTACAATTTATGAATCAAAATTTCTATGAAGTAAAAATGATTATGGATAACTCATTTAACTATTCAATTTAATGCCCCTATCTCCAACACGGACACACGCTCATGCACATCCACATATAGGTGTAAGTAATAATTTTATAAGTTGTATGTTAATTGAAAAGGAATATTTGTAATAAGTTTTTGTTTGATAAGGAAACTATAAACGATCATCTTTTTTCCTATTATTCAACATTAATTATAAAAGTGATTATCCAAAATGAAATAAGGGCATTGAATGAGCGTAAAAAGACTTTTGTATTTACCTAATATTTTAATTATTATGAATCTTACCTTATCTTACTTTTATAGATTTTTATTTGAATTAAATTTTATTTAATTTTTAAAAGTTTACTATCATTCTGTTATAATAACACACACACACATATAAATATATATATTTATTTTTTTTTTTCTCTCGAAAGCAATAAGCTTTAACTAACTACTTTTTCTTATTTTACATATGACTTAACAAGCCATATTGAAATTTAAAATAAGTGACTTTCATAAAAATCTCAAACGTGCAAAATAGAATTATGCACGTTTTGCAATAATTTCAAGTGAAAGGAAACAAGTTCAAATAACATTTAGCATTAATACATGTGACTAAATATCACTAGTAATAAATTTAATGTATCCAACCGCAATATCGACTATAATTTACACTAATAAATTATACATTTTTATATTTTAATTTATCTATTTCATATTTAGATAAATTAACAAAAATTAAATAGAAATAATTGACATTTTTTTTTTTACCATTATTAGGCTGCTGAGAATTTTACTAATGTTTGTAATGATAGTGAAGCCTCCACCAAAAATTTGCGGTGGCACGTCTAATGAGACTTTAGTCCTGTCGAATTCAGGAATATTTTCCTCCGTTGTTGAACGAAGCTTCTGCGCAAATAAAAAATCATGTAGTCTTATGGCGTCTGATAATCAAACGCAGCATTTCAATTTATTTCAGAATTTATGAAAACCGATAAAATACAAAATATTGTAATAAATGCATCGTGTATGGAAGGGATATCATTTAAAATATTTACATTCTAAAATTATTATCATATAAATAAATATTTAAAATGATACCCTAAATATTTTATAAAAAATTTGATCACGTAGAACAGAGTACGTAATATCTTTTAAGAATAAATTAATAGTTTAATAATCAACTAATAATCACGTTATTCTACAAAATCAATTTGTAGTTTTGTTGTGTTGAGTTGTGATTTGATCTAAATTGAAATGACTTGGAAAAATTCAATCCTAAATTGATTAATTGCCATTTTTATATTCACATTTGTGTGATTCGGAAGAATCTAAGTACAGCTTATAAAAAATTCGTGCGTTTATACACAAGCACGCACGCACCCACGCACCCACTCACCCACCTTTACACGTTTGTGCGCGCGCGCGCATCTACATACACGAATGTACACGTGCACAATCGCTCCCATACGCATATACTCATACGCACTTTTATATACACATCCATCTACGTATCCACCAACTATTTAAGTTATGCATTTAAGCGCGCGCGCGCACACGCATCCATACAAAAACTTATTTCTACATACTTTAATATATAAATTAATATAAAACTCACTTCAAAATCAGTGTAAAATTATAGTAGTAATGATTTTGTAAGTTATATATCTTGATTAATAATATCGTTGTTACAACACATCCAGGAATCGTTTAAGTAGAAAAATCTTAAATAAATGCTTAAGCCAAGTAAATTTGTTGATATGTATAATCTTTAGATTATATTCCAACAATTTTAGAAGATAAAAAGTAAAAAACCTACATTCATAGAGTATTAATATATACTTGCATTGCAAAGGAAGGCAAATTCAGTATTGCGCATTATGGATTAAAGCATGAGTAATAACAATTGTTGTAAATGGTAACAATAATTTTATTTGACAATATGTTTTCCTCAATGAGCATTACAAGGACGTATTTACAATTTGACGGCATTGCGATAATAATGATTAGATTGAATTATACAAGCTAAGGATTAACGAGTCTTTCGTTAATATTTCTCGATCTTACAGATGTTGACATTATATTTGTTATTATATTTCAGAGATACAGTTAAAGTTATTTTGAATACTTTCATAAATTTATTTAAAAATACGATATGTTCTTAGATAACTATGTAACATAGTTTGTATTTCACATTGTCAAGAAGAAAATAAACTAAATTTATAAACTCATCATTTATATTATTATAATTGTACATATTATGTATTGATATAAAAGATGAATAGTAATAAGTTTTTATCAGTATATTAGTGAAATTTAGATATAATTAGCTTTTTTACAAAAAGGAAATGTGAGATTTCGTCGATATCATATAGTCGATAGGCATTTTTAAAGTTTATTCAATACGTAGATATTTCAAAGGATTTATAAAAACGTGTAAGTAATACAACTTAAAAGACTCGCTATTCCAGAGATTTAAATATATCAACTTAATCTCTCGTCTCTAACATGTGCTTTCGGCTACTTTGCATATTTATTTACATCCATGTTTTGATATTGTTCAACAATACTTTTATATATGCACGTATAAAATAGTCCTCTGCGTGAATAACAAAATTACAAATATAAATTGTACGCTTTACATATATATATATATATATATATATATATATTATATTTATAATTTTGGAAATTTATATAGAAAAATAATAACAATTATTTTATGAATATATTAATGTCTTCGATAAAATATGGCCACTAGACTTCATGCACTTTGATTATTGTTTTATATAGTCCTCTTTAGTTTCTTTATTTAATGACCAGTATTATATGATGTCAAGCTTGTATAGATTTTTGCAAGCCAATGATATACGCGTTGCATTGTTTCCGGATTGCATCTTGTCGATACAGTAGTTGTCCATCCATTGCGTAGAACTTCATCGACCAATGTAGTAGTGTTGCTGGGAATTCGGTGTTGAGTAATCGTACTAGTTTATAATACATAACACAGTCCATTTTCATATTTGTTCATCATCATCATCATCATCATCATTATTATTATTATTATTATTATTATTATTATTATTATTATTAACAATATTATTATTATTATTATTAACAATATTATTATTATTATTATTATTACTATTACAACTATTATTTTTATTACTACTACTACTACTACTACTACTACTACTACTACTACTACTACTACTACTACTACTACTACTACTACTACTACTACTACTACTACTACTACTACTACTACTACTACTACTACTACTACTACTACTACTACTACTACTACTACTACTACTACTACTACTACTACTACTACTACTACTACTACTACTACTACTACTACTACTACTACTACTACTACTACTACTACTACTACTACTACTACTACTACTACTACTACTACTACTACTACTACTACTACTACTACTACTACTACTACTACTACTACTACTACTACTACTACTACTACTACTACTACTACTACTACTACTACTACTACTACTACTACTACTACTACTACTACTACTACTACTACTACTACTACTACTACTACTACTACTACTACTACTACTACTACTACTACTACTACTACTACTACTACTATTACTATTACAACTATTATTTTTATTACTACTACTACTACTACTACTACTACTACTACTACTACTATTATTACTGTTATTAATAATTTTTTTATAATTGTGTATAATGCAGACTTGGTGGAACAATGTTATAAGGTTTAACTAATGGTTTTCGACGATTTTGAATTGAATCTTCCTTTACTTTCGTTATGAAGTATCAAAATAAAATACCTTTTTCTGTATTATAACTTTGCAGATTTATGTGCACTTTAGTTATTACATAGAAATAAAGTTCTTATTTTATTTTATTATTTAAATATATATGTAGTCATCCGTTTCATTAAATGCTAGTTGTCGATTTAAATTTTAATAAATAATTAAAAATGATTGCTATTTCTTCTTTGTTGTGGCTATTTAAATTAAATCTATCATTTTAATACTTATACGAAAACAAAATAATTTAGTGTAAATCAAAATTTTTATTCGCAAAATATGGTTTATAAAGCAAAGAAAGAATTCAAAAAACATTTTGGATATTAGTATTGATAAATAAATAATACAATATGTATTTGATGAAATGTCAGTAAGCCATAAGATATTTTTCCAAGGATAATAATAGATTGTCAAGTATATCCATGGTGAACAAATTATTCGTATGTCAAATAATTATTTGTTAGCAACAATCGATATGTTTACTGTGTAAAATTAATTTTGAGGATAATAATAAATAACAGGATAAAAATTTTCGGTGAATCGCAAATTATTATTCATTGTTTATCAAAAAAAATTAACAAAATTTAACGATCATTCAAAATAATATCAATTCGTAGTTTTTAAATCTACTTCATGCACTATTTATATCTTTAGTTTAGACATTTATTTAAATTCTAATCAATATTAGCACACAATGTTCACTTATTAAATTGTTATTTTGTTATAAAAAATTAACAAAAGTAAATAAAATTATAATGTGCAAATTATGGTAAATGGACATAAGTTTGTGCAGGATTGTCTGATTTGTTTTATCTGTTAACCCTGATTAATTAGGTTAAATTAATTATAAATTTGGAATGTAAGTACCCGATTAGAATACACTTATTTTTAATTTGTATTTCATGGTTACAGTCAAACTGTACTTCCTTAACTCGTTGAAGCATAGAATTGTACATATTTATCATCCGCGAGTAACGAAATTTTAAGTCGGAGTAGTTACAGGGGATTTAACGATCGTTAACCTTATAAGTTAATATTAGAATATATGTTTTAAAAATACTTTGAACTCTCTATTTTTTTTAGAAACAGCATTATTCTCCAATTTGATAATATGATCACGGAAATTTAATCAACGAATCGAGATATTCAATAAATTTTTCAATTTCTCAGTTTCTTTACACTAAAATATATTAAATTACTTCAATACAGCATTTTATTCGAGACAAATCGATATTTAGGCATTGTTAAATCATTCGAATTACAATATGAAAAATTTCAAAACAACGTGCTATTTCATTTACTCGCATTAATGTTAAAGAAGAAAATTCCGTCCGAACAAAAACTAATAAAGCGAAGAAATGCTTCAACGTGCAAGGGGACAATAAGAATTGCGACTCCCTTTCCTTCAGTATTTTCCTACCCCAGCGCCAGGACCGGAGTAACCCCCAACGTCGATGTTCTCTTGACCGGCGAGCGGATAGTCGGATGGATCTTCGACTCCATTACCGGAACTGCCACCAGCACTGTTGCTCAGACTCCCGATAATGCCGGACAGGAAGCTGCCGCTGTCACTACCACCGCCCGAATGGTTGTTATCGTTGCCACTCCCACCACCTGCACATAATTCATAGCCTTAGTATGCATCGATGACATTTTATTCTTTCAATTTTTTTGTAAAAGCCCCATTCACGTCTAAAGTATTTAAAAAATCGCATGCGATGCGATTACCTTTCAGTCGAATTTTTATTATTACTCTCTTACAGTACGATTAATTACAATCTAGTCTAGTCTAAGCCAGCTATTTAAAAAAGTCCTATTAAAATTAAAAGTACAGTTATAGGCGTTATTTTTTCGTTGCTTATATGGTATTTAATGTTGGCGTACGTCGATGAGGTAATCAGTGACAAAAGCAAAAGCGTAGCCAACGAATATTATAACGAGATAAAACTATAAAAAATCAATTTTATCAATGTAATTAATATTAATTTAAGTATTACAAGGATATCGAAGTTGAGATTAAAAAAAAAAAAAAAAAAAAAAAAACCAACTATTCCTTTCTATATTTTACCTACAACCGCTTCGTGCTTATATACACTTGCGAGCATTAAGTATTCAAGAATTTTTATTTGTCCGATAAAGCAGTTTAATTTAATGCAATCATTGATCAGATTGATATGAAGTATTAGATCTGAATTTATTTAATTTTTTTTTTTCTTTTTATTACCAGTGTCGTGGAACCCACCAATTAGTTACAGTTAACATCGATAAACATTTGCCACGTGCCAATCTCTAAACAGCCGTAACATCGCAATTCCCCCTGTTTTTCGATAGGTTGTCATGCGATAAAATACAGTAAAATAAAATAAAGTAAAGTATAATAAATGTGCTGGGAGGAAAAAGTGCGTATTATTTACCAGCGGAAAGGCCGCCAGACAAGCCGCCGGATAATGCGCTGAGAGGCGCGAACTTTGAGGCGAAAGCTCCGGCAATGCCTTGCTTGGCACTACTTAGGAAGGTCGTTCCTGCGTTTAAAAGTGGCCCCACACTACCAGTCGATCCTTTCAGTTTCGCGGCGATGTATTTGCCGATGAACTCACTGGTCGCCGACCTGGACCCGTCGATATTGAAAGCCACGTTTTTGGCTCTGTTACCCTCATCTAGTATCGTCAATGCTTTCGTTTTTGCGTCCAGGAAAGCGTCCAACTTCTATAAGATTCCGCGTGTTAATTATATTATGGCTTACGGAGCTGTTATTTCCCTCCTCTTGTCAGCGCGATTTTTCTTTTCAATTATCAATTAACTTGTATCATTCGTTCGTTGAATGTGTATGATCGATGACATTTTATGGCTTTAATGGTTGAATGAAATTAAGGATTAAGCAATATAGCCCCTACAAAAATACGATTCGCTGCTACCCCTATGTAATTTTTAAAACAACTTCACTTTGTATACTATACTTTTTTGAATTAATTAAAAGCATATTTATTATATATTGTGCACCAATTACTTCAATTTACATAAAATTAATATACAGTATGTACTCATTATCTATGGTTTTCATACTCTGTTCTTTATTATACTTGTGATTATTGTAAATGAATCTATTATCATTGATAATTAATAGACTATATATAATTATACAGATTGTGTTAGTCATATAAAGTAGTTTTGCAAGAATACGTTCGATTGAGAATGAATTTTTTGCTTCTTTTTGCCTATTACACAGCAAAACTATTGCACAGTAGAATTATTTTATTTTAGACTTCATCGATAAATATATAGAGTTTGTATGAGTCGATATTGAATTCAGATTAGTTAATATTAAAATACTTTTTCTAATGATAATTCTAATGTTATCGGCAGCAACGAGGAAGGATTATTTCCATATTTATCAATGTTAAATAATATTTTGTAACCTTAACGATGATACGTGTTAAAATATTAACTGAATTATATGCTATTCGTCATGAGAAATTAGGTCATCGATTGTATTAAATAATTATTAAGAAGATACGTGTAGCTTAAGCGCTGTATAAATAATTTTTTCAAATCATAATAATGCATAAATAATCATTATATCTCAATGCAATTAAAAATGGCAATAGATAAATTTAATGTCATTTCAAATTTAAAAGAAAATGAGGATTTTGCAATTTTTAGTACATAGAAATTATAGGTACTGTAAGATTTGTAGCTATTATGTTCGTAACAAGATGAAAGATGATCGAGCCTTGAGCATATTTTCAATTAGAAGGCTCCTTAAAATTTACAATAAGAATTTTCTAATAGCGTGTCTAAAACTTAAAAAAAAAAAATGTGTAATAAATTTTTTTACATAATCAAAACCATTTATTTCATTCATAAATAATATATATATAATAAAGTCTATTTCAGTATTAATTGATTTGAAATTGTGTAGCTTAAATATTTGTAATAAAGTAATGGATTCCTTTATTAAAGACATACAAATAATTTTCAGTATCCTGAAAAAACTTTTAGAAAGTATTTTTAGATAGCAAAAAATGTCAGCCGATAATTAGAAAAAATTATTCTATAATTTGATGTGATTCATGTAAGATATCATATATTTTGAATGATGTTCAATTTAATTGTTATGATATGCTATGATTGCTATGATAACGAGGATGTGAAATAATAATTAATTAAGAATATTTACCCCGAAAACGAAATTGATGATACCATTGGAGACTCCAAGTTTGACAATGCCAATTTTTCTTTTATCCCTGTCGCTTCTGTCCTCGTCGTCATTCTGAATAACATAAACCTGACGATATATTAGTATCATATCGACATATCGTCCATCTCTATTATAATTATGAATAATGATTAATTCAACATACTGTCAAGACAATATTAATAAGCTACTCTCGTAATATTTCGTTCTACACTCACAAAATTCATCTGCACAATAAGTTATTCAGGTCTTATAACATTCTACTTATGTACACAATATACGTTAAAGCGATTGGTTACAAAGTAGCCGACGGCATAGTAAGTGGTTTTCTTGACAATCGTTGCTACTGTATCAATAAAATATAAATCTTAATACGGTAATGTAATATATAAAATGTCATTTAAATAAAGTACTTACTATCGTTATAACAATATAAATTTGCCTCAAATTATAAAAAAAAAAAATCATATATTTAACAGCATTTGAAATGCGCTGACTTTGAATAACTTGTAGCTAGAAATATTTAACAAAACCTGTTTATATCAACTAACATTTCATTTGAACGGACAAACAATATTCAATTAGATGGAGAAACACCTTTTCATTGAAAATTTAATTGAAATAATTAGATTTCGTCTAAGCATATACGCTAATTACCTTTTTTTTCCAAATATTGCATCGTTTTTATTATTATTATTATTATTATTATTATTATTATTATTATTATTATTATTATTATTGTAGATCTAAATTTTTCTGTTTTATAAGCCTTATTCGTAGAGTAAAGTACGCAGATCAATCTTCTGTCAACTTGGTTCTCGTTCAGTATTGGATGGCAAAAAAAGTTTCTTCGAAAAAATTCACAGTAACCGGAATATGTTCATTTCGAAAGGCTTGTCCGCCTCTTATGCGCTTCGTTACTTCAGACTCGATGACCAATTCTTCGTTACATAGGACAACTAATTACAAAGTTTCATGACGATTGGCAATATGACGCCAAGCTCGCATGTGAACTGTGTAGATATCCTTGAAATTTTCAGGATTTATCAGAGTAAATGGATTTTGTAATTTTGCATTATTCAATAATCAATGTTAAAAATGCACTCTATGAATGGATTCTGTTTAAGGCAATAGATAAAATAAGAATAATATTGTTTGACTCATTCGAATGGTTAATATAAACAAAATTGAATTCAATACGAAGTCCTGACGATGCTTTATTCTAAACAAATTTTAAATATATTCCATATATATATATATATATATATATATATATATATATACATATGCATACATATGCATACATACACACTAATATTTCATTAAATTTCTGATGCTTTAGTTAACTAAAGTGTGAGATGAAAAAGTAAGACAGAAGTTTTACGTACCAACTATTTATAATAAATACTAGTTGTACAAAGATTATATAATAATGTAATAGTTTTACATTATATAATAATATTGCGCTGTAAATTATTTTTATGTATGATTGATGAAATTCAATATTTATATAAATTTCATATATAAAATTGAAAAAAAATAATTATAAAAATTTAAGTTAAAAAAATTAATTTTCCTTCCGTAATTCTTCGACTTATGAACTTTTTGTGTAAAAATAAAAGAAAAAGGTCTATTGTCTTATTATACCCATCTTAAAGTTTCCTGACTAAGATAATTCTTTGAATAACTAAGGTTTTATTTAATTTGGATGATTTTATAAGTTTGGTAAGGGCTAAAATAAAAAATTTTGAAATTACTTTTTTCAAATACTTTGTCAACTATGCTTATAAAATTAGTGAACATATTAAATTCCATTAATATTAATACATAAGTATTAATTAATTAATAAATAAATATTAACACATTTCTTAAAATTAATGAATGAAACTTCTTGTATTATAAAACCACTGTGTTTTTAATGAATTTGAAAAAATTTTCTGTACTATTTATCCGTCATTCTAATGATTTTAATAAATTGTAAAGTAAATAGTTAATTAAAATAAGGATGAATACATTGCAATATTTGTAAATACCTGGAGCACTTCTTACCTAAAACAAGTATTTTGCACAGATTGCTAAATGTATTTTATTAAATTATTTTTTGCTTCATTAAGTAACAAATACTGAATACTAGTTCATATAATAATTTCTAGTCAATAAAAACTCTAGTAATAGCTAATAAATTAAACATCAACAATGCCTCAAATGATATTTCAACTGAATCATTGGTATTGCATTTCATTTCACCAGTTGAATTCGATTATATAAAAGTCAGCCATTCCTCCGAAAACGTAATTAAATTAATATTCAAATTAATATTGTAATTAATATACACAAAGATCTCTCGATTCTTAGGATTGATTTAAGCAAGAAAATTATTATCCGAATTATACTTATATTTGACTACATCTATGTTCAGATTAGAAATAAATCTTATGGTAATTAGATAAGCGAATTAATTGATAGAAAATGTGTGGCGTGACAAGTCATACGCTCTAAAAGTATTTGAAAATCAAAATTTTGTCAAAAATCAATCATCAATGCGAGACCGAGTGATTAAACAACGCCCGTCTAGTAGTTTCGAATGGATTTTGTTTATAAGTTTGCGAGTGCAGCGATGTTGCTTCACTTGGCGAAGCGCGTGGACCACGATAGTCAACCGTCACTTTCACTGCTCTCTTATCCTTCCGTCTTGCGTACTCTACGGATTTCTGAGATGAACGTTTATGAAATGCTGATAACGAGAATATTTTCTCCAAGCCTACGCTGTATTTTACATAAAGAATGGCATTTATGGCTTTGATCAATGTATTGCTGGAAAAACCCCGTTGACGAATTTCATTATGAATTACAGATTATAATAACGAATATACCAGCGTGAATCATTTTTTTCAGGAAAATTCTATTTATAAAACCTGTTGTAGAGAAATTTTTATTTTATTCTAGTTTTTTCATTATTTTTTTGTCCTTTTTTTCTTCCTCTTTTTTTTTTTTTTAATATAAAACAGTATTGGCTAATACGTTCAAGGAAAACTATTTTAAACGTTCATTTCAAAGAAAAAGAATCTGATTTTATCATATATATTTTTTTTTTTTAACTTAAAGTGGTATGATAATATCGTTGCGATAATATCTATTAATTCATAGGGATCGAAATTTTCTCGAAGCATTTCAATTTATTATTAGCTTATGTCTACGTTATTTAGAAGATAAAAAGGGAAAACGGCTTTATGGGTGACCAAAATTGTAAAAAACGACTAAATAGTCACTCTACGAGTTTTCAAACGTCAATATATATTCGAATTGCATAATCCTTCGATTTAAGCTCGACAAATACTCAGGCATGTTTAGGCACAGACAGAGGGAGAGACACGGGCGAGTGCACAGACACTTAGACCGGAAAAACCGTGTGTGTCTTTTCACTAAATTAATCGCGCAGCGTTCGACCGCGTAACCTTCGAATAGCTCGACTCGCATTTCGACTTTCATCTCGAGATTCGAGACCTTTTAAAAAGCGCTAGCCGTAAGAGAAATTTAAAGAATGCACGCGCGCGCGCTCGCAAAATGATCGGGAAATTTTGTCAGCTGAATGGGGGAACTCACTTCGTTGAGAGGACTGAGCTCTTCCAGGGCCTCGTTTTTGCCGATTGGGCCACAATTAGTAGTCCCAACTGCTAGCAAGATCACGCAAACTGACAGCAATGACTTCATCTCTGCGCCTCGTTGTTGGTAATTGTCACTGAAGCTTTCAATAGTCTTCCCCTGCTTTCCTTCTGCAACAGTCAATAGCGAATTTCAAAGTATTGCTGGATATTCTCGTGAATCCTATGACTTAGGCGCCACTTTCTCCTCTACTGTATTCCACACTCGCGCGGTGCTTCGTGTTGCGATATATGGATGATTGGCTCATTGCCCCGGCCCCGTTACGATTGTTCTTCGATCGAGCGAATTAACCGATTTGGCAATGAAAATTTCTCACCGGTATAAACGACGATAATCGCAGGTGGAGCATTAACGATTAGGCGATACTTCTATCATTATTAAGATGCTTATAACCACAATATTACATTTTCTTACCGTATAATAACTCCGATACAACACTTCATGAACCTTACAAATCAAGCACCCTCTTATTATTAAATTATGATACTTATGGTCCATTGGGTCGTGAATAAAAATTCTTATTTACTGGCATTAATGAAAATCGCGTAATACCGCATGTGGGAGCACCAAATGTCATATATTAAATTTGCACAGTGCTGTTCGGGTGACGAGGTGAAAGCATGAACAATTTGAGGAAATCCGCCCTTCGCGGACCCATAGTAACGACCAATGTAAAAATGGGACGCCCGTAGTGTAGAATAAAACAATAGAAGAAGAGAAGAAATTAAGGATAACTTACGGGTATGCGCGTACCGGCTCGCGCTATCGTTGCCTACGTGCGTGTGCTCGTGCTGCGCGAGCTCAATGAGGATTGATACGGAGAGTGTGCGAGAGAGTGAGATAGATAGATAGATATATATATATATATATATATATAGAGAGAGAGAGAGAGAGAGAGAGAGAGAGTTAAATAGATAGATAGATAGATGGATAGTTTGAGAGATAGATGTATAGAGATTAAGATAGAGACAGAGATAGATAGATAGATAGATAGATAGAGAGAGAGAGAGAGAGAGAGAGAGAGAGAGACGGACTAACAGACAGAGCGCGCCGTGATGTGTACCTGACCAAGTGCGAAGCTCGTTTGAGGAAGGCGGCGAAGGAGGCGCCCAAGTCTTACGGCCGCGCGCTCGAACCCCCCGGGAATCGAGATCCAAGAATCGGCCGAGAGCTCCTCTCTATGTGTGCCGCCCCTCTCCAGAGTCCTCGCAACCGCTGCTCTTTCACCGCGCGCGTAATGTTATGTCATTTTCGTGCCGCTGGTCTTCCACGTTTTTTGTCCCAGAGCAGAGGATGACCACCGATCAGCTCCGGAGGGGCGCCCAAACTTGTCATTGGTGCGCCGACAGTCGATTATCCCGGTGCGTTACTAGAGCATTGGCACTCGCTTGGGAGCGAGGACGAATTGCCACCTGCAGCAGCCTCGACTCGTGCGAGCCGCGCTTCACGTCCTATTCTGATTATCCAAAGGATCAATCGTGCGATGTGGTCGATTGCGAGTTCAATTGAGTTTTGTCAATGTTGCGCGATGAAGCTACGGAGATGTGCACATCCCGTGCATTCGGCAGCTTTTACCTATCATAGAAAAATTTGAGCCGCGATTTATTAATCATCTTTCAACTATTTATATCACTCTCATTACTCATTATATATCATCGAAATATCGTCTCCTCGTCCGTTCCGAATGGACGAGCTCTCGTTGAGTATGATGCGACATCCCTTTATTAAAATTAATACAATAATTACAATGTTAATACAATGTTGGGTTGATAAATATGCTTTGACGACTATTTCCACAGCAATTGAAAATACATTCCGATGCTGTAAAAGCATTTAAGTTAATACAATACTTCAAGAAGTCGGTCTTATTTTTTTCCCATAAACATAAAAAGTAAAAGTAAAAAAATTACATAAAAAGTTAAAATACTTTTATCAATGCTTGTATAACGTGAAATTGTTACAGTTGCAATGAAATTTATTGTTTGTATATTTTGCTTTCGTAAGCAATACTTTCGTGAGTAAAAAAAATTATTTAGGCTTAAATAAAATATTCCGCGCCCAGATTTTTAAAATAGCATTTCTGCTTGGACAGAACTTTCACACTTTCTTGAATGGATAATCTATAATATTAAAATTTAAATAAACCAGATTATTATATAATTTTTTTTTTTTTTTTTTTTTTTTTTTTTTTTTTTTTTTTTTTTTTTTTTTTTTTTTTTTTTTTAATAATATTATTAATTATAATAAACCAAAATGTTAATGCCTATTTATAACAAGTAGAATAAAATATAAAAATTAGTGTTCTTAATAGCAACGAATCTCCTGTGCAAGAAAACGATAGTTCTGTCAATATTTGGCGATATATTCCAATAAATATATTTCATTATATTTACAGACTGTAATCTTACTGGAATTGATTTACATAAGCTTTACCGAATACAATTATCATAATTAATATGTAAAACAATTCTTTTTTTTTTTAAATTCAGACATGGGTTAAGAAATAAATATTATTTCTTCAATATTACGTTTATTTTCTTCTGCTTACATATGCCAATATAAAATACTGAATATATAGTATTCTCCAAGAAATGGTAATTATTAAAAAAAAAAATCATTAGCTTATGTGCGAATAGCTATTAAAAGAATTATTGTCTGCTCATTTTTAAATTGCCTTCTTTATTTTACATTTATTATACAAACACTTGTATAGTAATCTAGATACAAATTATGTGTTGATAAAAAAAAAAATAAATAAATAAAAAAAATTAAAAGACAACAAGATTTTTTAAAAGAGTGTGGAATTTATTTGAACTAATTAATTATTAATATAAGCGTTAAATAATCGTATTGTGAATATTTATAAGATATCTATGAATAATTAATACTCATATTTGACATAACGATAATATTGAATATAAATTGAAAATGTAAGTGATTATAATATATAATATTGTTTGGTATAAAGTCAAAATATTATTGATATATAATTTACAGCAAATAAATTTTAGATAAATAAATTTCTTTGATAATTCTTGAAATTTATTCAAAATATCTTTTGTTAATGAAAATATTTTTTATCGATTATTTTAGAACTTGAGATTATAACACATATAAGTTATTAAGTTAATATTATTGATTATTAATTATATTTCTATATACATAATAATACGACATATAAGATAGAATACAATGCATTAATGAAAAATTTAATATAATTTCTAATATTATTTAATTCATTTATCCTGTTAAATAACAGATATTCTCATTCCTCAAGATTAGCTCCGATTATTATTTTGTTGTGATCTTCAAATTTCAATGAATTTGATTAATAATTAAAAATAATCAAAATAAACTTTTATAATAATAATAATAAAAAGCATTATTTAAAAAGATATTGAAAATATTTAAGAAAACTATAGTTTTATATAATTGTAAATTATAAATAATGAGTAATAATAACTTCGTTTTACAGTTTCATTCAGATTTTACTACAAGTTAATTTGTTAAGTTTTCTGCAAATGGTAATTTGATAGTTTATAATGTATTCAAAACAAAATATAAATTAAAATATTTTTAAAAATAATTTAATCATAAAGAGGATCGGATTTTTAATCTAAAATTTACATACATACATACATACATATATTCATACATGCGAATATAAATATAAAAATAATATTTTTTCATATATATTCTTAAGGGAATAAAATTGATAAAATATTGAATGAAACTGAAAAATGAAAAAAATAATAATGATTTTCTCTGTATTTTAATTAAATTACTCATATTCTATATTGATTTATTTTTAAAAAGAATGCATGTATGTAATGCATAAGAAAAACAATTAATTAAATTAGCTATTTATGTTAATATAATATTTCTGTAATATTAAATAACCATAATGATTATGTAGAGAATCATTGCTTTTTAATTCTATTAAAAATTTTTAGTGTATAGCATTCATGATAGGAATAAATGATGAAGTTATTCTTGAACAATCATGAAAAAAAATTGTTAACTTTACTTATAAATTATTCAGCTGATATTTCATTATCTTCTAATGATACGCAAACCTCTTTCTTATATGAGATTATATACAAGTGTTACAGTATATTCACCATGAATTTATCAAATTTTGTAAAATAAATATAGAAAGCACTATTTTACGTAAATATTGTATAATACTTAATTTATGGTGAAAAATTAGTAAAAAAATTTTCATGCAAAATTTTATTTGATATTTTCGTCTGTTTCAAACAAATATACTTTATTATAAATTATAAAATAATGAGAATGTTTATATGAAATTACTAAATTTCTATTTATCAATCTATGGTCTATTCCTATTTGTTATAACATAAAAAGTATTATTATTAAAAAATTAATCAATAATATTAATAATAAAAACATATTATATAAATTTTAAATTTCACTAAAAGTTGTCATTTTTTACATTTTAGAAAAAATTTTAAATAGTATTATTAATTTCTAAAAGTATTACACTATATTAATAAATTACTTAAAACAATCTTTTAAAGAGAGCTGAAACATATATCTGATATATAATATTTTAAATTTAATAAAAGTAACTCTATATATCTTATAAAATAAATATATAAAAAAATTAATAAGTTCACTTCACTTCAATAGCGAGTAAACAAGTAACACATGTATGCATTACTTATTTACTTCTCTCTTCTAATCTTATATTACTTCATTTATATAAATTATTTTGCAATACCATTCACCAACCACTACTGATTGAGATGTTCATAAAATTGTTATGCACAATGCGATCAGTCAAACTAGCAGTAAATAATTCAAGAAAGGAGATTGGCTCGTTTTACAACTTTCGAAGAATTCTCTTATTTACAGTCGTTATGCAGACTAAATTATTCGAAAACACGAATACTCAAACATAGCTTTGTTAAATATTTTTTTCTTTCATTTCTCATTTTTGAAAGCAAGTTTTTCAAGTTCAATTATGACAAATTTAACGAAATCTCCAGTTTTTCGATTTTATTATTATATACTTATTATGTGTCGAAAGGCTCATTTATATTATTTTAAATTCTATTACGTTAAAATTTTCTTGGTTTATTTTATCAATAGTTTGATTCAAATTTATAAATGCAGTTTAATTTTTTAGCAATAAAATAGTCTAAAACACAAGAAAAACTTGTTATATTATATTGGAGCTTTATTTATTGTTAAAAGTTATTTATAAAAGAAGAATAATGGTTAAATGATTTAAATTTAAATTTCAATAAAATTATAGATCGATGCCTAACAAATAAATAGATTTTTTAACAATATTCTATTACATATATCTTTTAAATTAATAAATTATTATGAAATAATGTACCAATAATCTATAGTTTTTCAAATGTAATATAAATTATGTAAAATAATTGTATTTTTATTCATATGGTTTTGTCAGTTTAAACATTTTGATCACTTTTATAGGTTAAGTAATTTACCAGAATCTTAAAAACTTATTATTATATATTAATTCATATAATGGTTGATATAAAAAAAAAATTTCAAGTCTCAGTCATACAATAGTTATAATTTTTAATTTCTAATTATTTTTTTTAATTACAATTTGAAGTATATTTAGTAATAAAATATTAATCTAAATTATACTTTTATTAAATATTAAAATAAATTTTCATATAAATTTATATTCTATTATTATATTTCAATTTAATTCCATATTTTATTTTTGTAAATTATGAAGACACAAGTATTCTTGAAATAATTCATTAAATCATTCTGATAACAACTTTTTCTATTAAAAACATTTAATGGATAATATTATATATTTAACGCTGGGCTAAATTTTTCTGAAATATTGTTCACTCAGCCGACTAAAACTAAGGAATAATTGGTTTCGTTTAACTTACTATATATGAGATTTATTTTGTTTTTTAAATTAAAAATTATACGGAATAACTATTTTATAAGTAATGCACATATGTTTAATATTGGCTAATATCTCTTTGTAAAAATTTAAACTAAATTAGATTGTGAATATAAGAGAGAACAATATTGGTAGAAATTTCATACTCATGAGAAAAAAGGTTTATGAATTTAAAAATTATATACTCGATTAAATAGGATATTAGAAAATAAAATTTAATTTATACATTTTTGTTCATTTGAATATAAATTTATAATGAATTGTTCTTTA